GGAGTTGAGACCATGCTGGTGTGGTGGATTAAAAGGAAGGGAGGGGTGAGTCATAAACCGCAATTTAGCGAGAGTAGAAGGTGGCGCTTTATCACGGAGAGGAGCTGTGCGTTGTTTGGGTAACAAGAAGTAAACGCTGAGCACCGAAAACGTTGGCGAAGGGAGCGACTATTGTCCTGCACTGCATCGTCTGCTTCCCGAGAGCCAACGTCTACGCATCGCTGCAGTACTTCATGGATCTTCAAAGGGCTATGAAGACGCGAGGGTAGTAAGATCATCTTCACTGAAAACTCGTGTGCCGTGGGCTTCAAGTTGTGTGGCGAGTTGGCGACTGTGATTCCCCTTCTAGAACTTCGATGACAGCGATGAGACAGGAGCAGCCTTCAGTTCAGCTCATAAATGAAGATATGTCGAAGAGAAGTATCCACTCGATGCACAGACTAATCTGCGACTCGAGTCACCCGACTGATAGTACCATGTTGTTGCGGACAGTATGTGGTCGACCAGCGAAATGACATGATTTTATTTAACTGCAAACAGCAATGATTGCGAAGCCCTCCCAGAAGGTATCGCAACAAGGCAGTAAAATCTCAGAGTCGTTACTGTGGCCCATAATCGCGCCAGGACGAAAAGTGCGGCATGACAGCAAAACGGCTTGCATGTCACCTCACGTCACAAATAAAGTTCCAGCACCGCCACACGTAAATTTCGGCCTTCTCCGTGCCCGTTCCTTCCAAAAATGAATTTCCAAATTCCGTCTCGTTCCTCCTCGTGTCTCGCAACCTCTCGCTTTGCCTGTTCCAAGTGCCCGTTCCCCATCCCAGAATGTATCTGCAGAGCTTCGCATCAATGTCTCGTTCCTTTTTCTATTGGTGCTCGAGCAGTGGAGGTTGCTTTGACTAGGCAGGGGCGGTGGGGAGATAAAACCGCCCGTTTTGACAGTTCTGCCCTCCCCACTGACACCTACCAAGGTCGTTGTATATTGCAGCAGTCCTAGCTGAGACACTTGCTTTACTTTTAATTCTCCTCTCCCCATCGCACCAGAATCATCGACTCGTGGCCACATTGAAACAACCCAATTGATACATCTCCAGACTCCGTCATGATACTCTCTCGCTTCACGCGAAGTCTCAAACGTCTCCTCCGGAGAAAGAGGTTCAATACATGCCCTGCTACCCCAGCTCTACCGCCGAGTCCAAGGCCATCGCTGGACACCATTTCAAATCCACCCATCGTAATCAACACGGAGGGCTCAGTACTCTCAGCGTCACCATCGAGGAGATCTACGACTTCTGCAATTATCCTCAATGCAACTTGTGCTCGCGCCGAGCGACTCGTACTAGTCGAAATCCCACATACCGGTGAGCCCGCCACCTCATGTCTTTCATTCGATCATCTAACGCTCTTACAGGAACTGTTGAACATAGTGTTCGATCATCTTCCACAGCCAACCCCACGGAACAGCAACCGGACCTCTCCGTTTTGCGAGTAGAAAGCAGCTCGCCCAGAAACGACGACGATTTCTTGGCGCCTCACCCTAACCGTTTGTCTCCGAATGGTGAGCACCCCACCCACATTCACTTGCCCGACTTGCGTCTGACGTAGAATAATAGATGAACGGAATGCATCGTCACCAGTACCTACTTCCCTGGAAGTTGGATCGAGAGACGTTAACGAAACTGCCGAGTTGGCATCACCTTCCCGGAGAGATATCGGTGTCCAGACGGGCGATATCATGGACGAGCTTGCCTGGGATACGCACAAGGCGGAGACAGACGCGATCGACTCCTTGGAGTGGAAAGCCGAAGTGGAAGATACCCCCATAGACGAAATCTCCTCGCACCCAGAGCGAGGTATCCACTTACCTCAACCCGACTCTCTCAACGCAGAACGGTCAGGTGGGGGGATCGGAAATGATCCTCCGCCACGTTCATCCCGTGCTGAAGACTCATTGAGCCCTTTCCGATACCCACCTCCGATCAGCCATTGCCAATCCAGCCCAGGTGCCCCCACCCCTTTACACCACCTTAGCTGTACGACGAACGACTTCGCTTATAGCGATGTCAGTCCAAGACATGGCTTCGCCTCTCGCGGAAAACCTCATCTCGTTCCCGGCTTTTGAACCGCAAGGCCTTTTTACGGACATTACGGAGAGCCTCAACGAGGTTGAAGAAGTCCACTTATCGCATCGATCCACAACGCGAGATGGATTTTTACCACCATACCTAACATCACCCCCTGCTGAGAACCTCCCCCAACCGAACTTCTCGCCAAAGTTGGGTTTCCGCAGAACACCCCGGTCTAGTCGTCCGCTCCCCCTCCTACCGACACCAGGAAATGGGCTGGGACTGATAGGAATGCCTACCAACATCGCATGTGAAGATAGCGATGCAAGGCTTACTCTCCCACTGGATCCCTTTAGTCTACCAACCCCGACTCCTTTTCGTCCTCCAGGTCTTCCCTCACCGATACAACGCCCAATCGACCTAATCACGATTGACGGAGCCCTCTCTCCCTCCCCTTGCACGAACACCCAACCTAGTCAAGATCCTGACAAAGCGATGGCTCGGATTATGCGTATCATCGAACAAGCACATCCCTTTACGCCTGTTTCGCATGAGCGGTCGGGGTTTGACTCTCCTCGGAGGTCTGAAGCTCCTCAGTGGCCTCCACTGTTTCAATCACAGGCGAGGTCTGTGGATCTGCCTTCGTCACGGGTTGCGAACTATGGCGTTTCAAGGGTCGGAGAGGTTGAGCCTTTTACTCTGGGGAGTTCATACCACGCAACGCGTGAAACTCCTCCGCCCCCTGTTAATCCTCTCAAAAATGGGATTTGGAACGTCACACAAATACGACAAATTAGGATCGATCCTACCGGGACGCGTCAATGGTATACAGGTGGTACCCTCGGTATGGGAGGGTTTTCGGCTGCTTACCTCGTTTACAACCCCATGCATGAACGGGAAGTGGTTATCAAGTGTATGAGGGCGTGTCTTCCTGTTTCGAGGAGAACCATAGAGGGTGTGATGAATGAGGTCAAGGTGCTAAAGAAGTTGAGGGAGGAGGAGCGCAGGTGTGGTGGGGGGAACTTTTTGTTGAAGCCTGGGTTTGGACCGAAGGGTGTAGATGAAGCGTTCTATTGGTTCTCTAGTTTGGGGTTCTTACAAATCGCGATTGTGAGGAGCTTGTTGTTTTTTACCTTGGATATCGCTAATCGTCTTTCGCGTATAGGAGTATTGTCCGGGCGGCGACTTGGTTCAGTACGCGAAACGACTCACCTCCCCCCAGTTATCTCTCGTCTTCGCAGAAGTGGTAAGAGCACTCTCTCGCTGTGCTCCTCTTCCAGACCCTAATAACCTTCGTTCTTCATTCGCAGGCACACGGCCTCATTCACCTACACGATCTCGGCATAATCCACCACGACCTCAAACCCAATAATATCTTCATCGACAGACTCGGTCACTGCGTCATCGCCGATTTCAATGGGTCCGTCTTCGTACCGATCCACCAGAAAGGAGTGAAGAGAGACAACGATATCTATACTCTTGGTTTCGCTGCGCCGGAATTGGTTGATGAGTATGTGACTTGGTATGATCATGGGATTGATTGGTGGGCTCTGGGTGTTTGTATATTCTTTTTGGAGACGGGAAAGGTGAGTCTTTGGTTTCGGTGTGGAGATGGAGGGATACTCATTATTGTCTGTGTGCATAGCACCTTGTTGGTATGGATAACAATGAGCGCCCGTCTTCAATGGTCTTCTGGGAGGGTGTCGCGAGTATGGGCAAGAAACTTCGTGCGCGTGGCGCATCCCCTGATCTGATCGACCTTCTGCAGAAGGTACGTTCGGGGTCTCCTACATGTTTTGCAAGGTTCTTACGCGTGTATTGTTATTTCGCAATTCAGGTCCTTACATTGAACCCTAACGAACGACTCCAAGGAAAATCTCTTTTTGCACACCCATACTTCCACAACCTGTATGTCTCTCCCTCTATCCATCATGCCAAGCGATACTTACTCCTGACTTCTCCCAGACCTTGGGACCTCGTAGAATCAAAAACGAAACCAATCTTCGAATACGTACCACTCCAACCCACACGGAAAGATTTCCCATCCCGACCAGGCAAACATTGGGATGTGGCTGGGGTGTCAATCCTTTCACAACTTGCTGTGGAAGGGTTGGAGGTGCGGATGGATGATTCGTTCTTCCCAGATTTTGGAGATTTTGTGGAGGAGTTGGCGGGTTAGGCGGATTGAGGTGTTTGGCCACGGATTCTGGTTTCGTTACTTATTTGTTGTTTAATTCTGCGGTGTATCGATAATTATATCTGGGAGCGTTGCATTCTCCCTGTCCGCCAGTCGAACATACCAACTTTGCGGATCGTCGTTGAGTGGACGAACTTCGACGACATCGGGGAAAGTGCATTGAAGATGGTTGGTGAAAAAAGAAAGCGAAGTGTTTTACAAAACATGGACGCCAGGAGAATTGAACTCCTCCCCTCTCGCAAACATGAGAATCATGCTAAGCGAGCGTGATAACCAACTACACCAGGTGCCCGACGGCGATATTACCCTCTGATACACTAAGATGCTTGGGGAGACAACCGACGTGAAAATGATGCTGAGGCGGTTTCAACTGTGTGCTTAGCTCGAGAATGCAAATATTTGTGTGACAAAGCCTACATCTCAATCTAAAGGAGTTTCAAGTTGGGCACAAAACGAGACGATGTGAGTTACCCATGGACGCCAGGAGAATTGAACTCCTCCCCTCTCGCAAACATGAAAGTTATGCTAAGCGAGCGTGATAACCAACTACACCAGGTACCCGATGCAACTCCGAGTTTCAATGCCTACTCAGTCTTTGGCGAGAAAATGAGCCTAAAAAATGAGATCTTGTGTATTTTCCATACAGTTTGACAATGCAATGCTTTCCGAAATAGAGATCTATCGGAATCTTTGATCAATAACTCCCAAGGGAAAAAGAAGTGGATTCACTGCTTGAGTGGACGCCAGGAGAATTGAACTCCTCCCCTCTCGCAAGCTTACGAAATGTAATGCTAAGCGAGCGTGATAACCAACTACACCAGGTGCCCGATGACTATGATGGCTAAATATACTCTGTGGCAGTTGGGCATAAAGGAGAAGGGAGACGCGCGCGAGGAGTTCAGGTTTAAGGCCCAAGGGAGCGAAGAGACGAAGGAAGCGCGTGGTGCAAAGGTTGAGGCGAGGATGGTAGGGAGTGTCACGAGAAGGGGTGTCATTCAAGTTGAATGTAAAATGTTAGATTGGTACTTCCCGTTCTTGCTCATTTTCAAGGGGTTCTTCCTCAGGTGAACTCACTGCGACGCTCACTGGCAAGGGACGAGACTCGACGTCAATGGTAAAGGAGATAGATGGAAGAATGTGGTTCGTGTTTGGGGATACGTGCTGCGATGAGGTGGAGTAGATGGCACAGTGGCGATTAGTTGAGAGGCGAGAAGAGGAATGAAAACCTGGAAGCTGAGTACAAGTGCCGTAGGGATGGTATATTGGTTTTCAAGTGAAGCGTTGATGCGAATCACGGTTGACGTGATTTTAGATGCGTCAATGACACCAGAGGAGAGCCTCGCGTATTGCATTCCATGGAGGGACGTCAAAGTAAGATAGGACGACGTTACTGATGATCTACAGGCGAAGTAGCAAGTGAGCCTCAAAGTTTCAAGCTCACTCGAAACCGAAATGAACATACTTAAAAACCGATCCAACGAACTATTGAGTCTTCAAGAAATTACTCTCCCGAATGGCTTCCCTCCTCTCCTTCCTCAGCCTAACCTTCTCAGCCTTGCCTCCAGGTCCGTCATCCGGTAGAACCTTCTTTTGCAATAAGGTCCAAAGCCAAGGTGGGTACTCAGAGTCTGGAAGAGCGAGAACTGGGGGTTGGTCTTTTAGCCAGTTCAGACCTGGCATGAGGGTGTTTGGCGTGCATGATGATAGGGCTGTTGGAGCGCGACCCAAGTAGGCAGACATGAATTGGTTGGATAACAGAAAGAAGAGGAGGAAACTGACATTCGGGTTCTACGTCCTTGGCTTTTGGGGATTTCGCAGGGCTAGCAAGGACATTTGATGCTAGACCCCTCGCTATATGTCGACATCGGAGGGTTTGGGACGGGCGGAGGACGCGAAGGAGAGATGAGGACATGAAGTAGGAGAGAATTTGAGGTGCAACCGTGGACGCGACGGGAACCTTGGTGGACCCATGGACTTGAGAGACCCATGGACTTGGCAGACCATGGACCTGTTGCGCACCTGTCGATCTCTGAATCGCACCCAGAGCTCAACGATAAATGGCGCGAGGACTCCCCTGATTAATTCTCTGTTCATTCTGTTCGTCGGTTCTGGGATCGCTATAAAATATGGATCTCGAACTTCATCTCGACGAGGAGCACCCGCTCGCCCTCGAACTCGCCAGTTTGAGGGCTGCCGTCGAGCGTTATCAGGTCAGTACGTGTTTCGTCCTTGATGAATTCATTTATGGAGGGTATTGACACCATCGCCCGCTTGCGCTCAATGTCTGATTTTATCTGATTTTATTTTATATAGCATGAAACATACACGACATCCCTAACACTCCAACGAACATCCCTCGACGCCTCACACTCCCTAACCCGTCTCCAATCTCTCGAACGTGAAAACGCAGCTCTCCATTCCGAGTTAAACACCCTCCGTTCAACACCCCCTCCCCCGCCTTCCTCCACCCACCAACAAACTCAAACTATAAATGAATTAACACTTTCCCTCCGTCACCTCTCTGCCAAACTCGATTACACCACCTCGTCTCTCCTTGAACGCGAACACCAATTGGCAGAAGCGAATGCGGAGGTGAGGAGAGCGGAGAAGGAGAAGGAAGCGGCGTATGAGCTTGCTGCTCGAGCCAGAGCGAGAGAGGAGGATGTGAAAGTTAGGTTGAGGGAGGTTGAAGGGAAGAGGAGGGTCCTGGAGGAGGAAGGGAGGATGATGGATTTGGTCGTTAGGGAGTATGCTGATTTGGTTAGGAAGTTGGAGGGTCGTGGAACATCTCTTCGATCATCCTCTGGTTCAGGTTCATCAATATCATTGGGATCAACCGCGAACGGATCAATCCCTCCCTCCCCTTCTCCCTCCCACACCCTAAACGAAGGGAAGACAGGTCTAGTCACCCTCCTCACAGAATTCAACACCGAGACTTCTTCCCTCCATTCCGAGATTTCGAGGTTGAGTGATGAACTCGATAAAGTGAGAGTAGAATTGGATGTGGAGAGGGAGGTTGGCTTGAAGGAGAGGGACGAGCTAGCAAAAGTGAGAATTGAGTGTGATAGGATGAAAGGGGATGATAGTGCTGCTGCGAAAGTGGTTTCTCGCTATATGTAAGTCTCACCTCAAATCACCCCTTCTTGAGTCTTCCCATCTCGCAGTGGTTCATTTACGCTAACATTGATTTGGCCCTCCCTTGATCCAGGAAATTCTCACAAAGCACAACAGACACCCTCCAAACCTCCCTCGAATCCCTCAAAACCCGTCAAGCAGCAACACTCTCAACCCTCTCCACTCAAATCACCTCACTCGAACATACACTCACTCAAGAGAAACACGAGTCTTCTCGTTTACGTGATATGTTGGATGAGTTGACTGAGGATATATCCAGGGAGAGTTATGGGAGGAGGAGAGAGGTGGCGTTGAGGTTGAAGATGTTGGGGAGGGAGGAGGGGTTGGTTGAGGGTTTGAGGAGGTGGGTTAGGAGGGGGAAGGAGGAGTTGGACAGGGTAGATGGGGATGGGGATGAGGATGAGGAAGTGGAGAAGTGGGAGGTGTTGGATAGTTTTGAAAGGGTCGTCAAGTCGGGTGTGGCGATGCTTGAGAGCTTGGATGGTGGGCGGGGTGGGGATGGGGATTCGTCTTTGTACCGAGAAGGGAGTGGTGATGGAGAAGAGGGTATGAGCGCTGGAAGTCTGGGAAGGGTGTTGGCTGCTGAGAGTGCCGTGGGGATGTTGGTGAGGGAGTTGGAAGTTGAGATGGAGAAGAGGATGGAGGTTGTTAGGAGGCTAGGTGAGTTGGGTGTTGGGATGGAGGGTTTGGATGGGGAAGGGCTGGATGAGGGAATTCGAGATGGTGAGATTGTGGATGAGGTTGTTCGGGTTAGTGGGGATTTGAGTGAGGATACTCGAGATGGTGGGGTTATAGATGTGGTTCCTCAAGATATCGAGGTTGAGAGTGCCGCTAGAGCACCTCCCACGGATGAAATCAAGGAGAAGCTCGATCTTGGTCTTCAAGTCGACCAACTTGGTATTGGTGGGGAGAGTGAAAGCTTGATAGACCTCCCGCCCGCCTCTCATTCATCACTTTCGAAACCCGACATCTCTCTAGTGCAAATATTCCTCGCCGACCGTCCCGAAGGGTTTGTTCAAGGCCCTTGTCCGCCGGATATGGAGAATGGGGATTCGAGCGTTGAATATCCAAGAGCTGCCGAGGTTGGGTCGGTTCGAGAAACTTCTGTCGAACTTACGATCGGAGAGGGTTCGTTGGATGGGGCGGTGGAAGTTACGCGTCCGAATGATCCTGTTGATGGAAATCCTCTCATCCAAGAATTACTCGAACCCTCGGAAAATCTTCTCGTACATCCTTCACTCGTGGAGGGTTCTTTATCAACAGATTCGTCCCAACTCGATGTCGACTCTGCCCCGACGTCCGAACCTTCAATACCTGTACCTGCGGAAACGACTGTCAGACCTCCCTCACTACCCGATGCGACGATCCAAAATACCTCTGAAAATACTGCAGTTGACATATCATCGATACCTAATACACCTAATCGCGGTACGCTTGGAGATGTCGCTCCCTCGTCCGCCCTTATTTCTACGAGACCAGAACAACCCCTGGAAACATCCCCGATTCTTGGGTTGGTGTCGTTCCCTGAACAAGGACAAGAACCCCCGGTTGAAGAGCGGGAGCTGGAAGGAGAGGATTTGATGCTGGGATCAGAAGAAGTGGTTGTGGTGGATGGGGGGTCGGTAGCTGAGGATGTGGAAACTCCCTCTGAACGATCTCCCTCGTCTGCGCCGGCGACACCTCTACTTATCATCACCGAGCCAGAACCGCCAACTTCAGAGGTATTCGATAAAGCCCTCGCGCATACACTGTCACCTGTGCATGCGCCTTCACCTACGCATACACCTTCACTCACGCATACGCCTTCAGCCACGCATATACCTCTATCTGAGCATACGGCTCGGCCCACACAGACACCTTCACCCACCCCCACCCCTCCTCTAACCTCCCGACAAGCCGTCCTCTTGGCGAGTTTACTCCAAGTCAAGGATCGGTATGATGATTTGCAAAGATCCTTCCGGAATTGTCACCTCGCTCTCAAAGATCTCAAATCTACGCTATCCTCGCCCTCGTCTGCTTCATCTTCATCAATGTTGCCCCTACTCAAAACAGCCGTCGGGAGGCTCGATGATTATAATGAAGACACACGTGTCGAGCTCGAGATACGAGTAGCGGATGAAGAACGTATCGTACGTGGATACCAGACTCTACTCTCCGTACCCGGAGCCATATCAGACGAAGTGGAATGGCGAGAGGTAGAGGGAGATGTGAGGAAGTTCGTTGATGGTGGTGGGGATAGAGAGAAAGTGAGAGAAGGGTTTGGGAAGAAGTTGGATGATTTGCAGAATGATATCGCTGTGATCAAACGAACGTTTTATGAGATCGAGTCGACCCCTTCGCCTTCGACTCCTTCGACGCCGTCTGGTGGTTGGTCGACGTGGACCTCAGGGTTACTTGGGGGAGGGGGTAGCCCTTCGAGGCCTGCTACTCCGGCCAAGACATTTGGGAATGTCATGACCAGTCCGAGGTTGAGACATCCCAACCTTGATGGCACTCGCAAAACTTCGGCAAGTCATGACTCAAATCCTGCCGATCCATTTGGTTCTTTGGGATTACGGATACCCATGCCTTCCTACGTCCCTTCCCCTCCTCGCCCAGAGACGACGACGACGATCAGGCCTCAGATTGGGATGAATATTGGGATTGGGACGCCTCCGCCTGGTCAGAGACAGAGGACTATTTCGGGGATGTA